ATGTAGGTCACAGCTGACTGGGCTGATTGCTAACAGCATTTCTCTATTATGTTTGAATTTATTGCTTGCTATTTAGTAAATACAATTTTTTAGCAGTTAATAAATGAGGTGTGCGACAGACAGATACCTGGGTCAGGTTTTGTCTGCAGATTCAAGATGCCTTACTGGTTTAGATTGAGGACCCCAGGCAACAACATCAGGAAGAAGCTGAAAAGGAAGATTTTTTTTACCGGAAGTGCATCACGGTTCAGAATAGCAGTAGCTTGGTTTCCATGGAGATGAGTGTTTTATATAAAGCATTAATTGGAGTGATGTCAGTGTGTGCAAGTTTATTTTATACAGTAGTGGTCAAAATTTTGGGGTCAGTAAGATTTTTTAAAATTATTTTTTTATAGAATTAATAATTCTATTCCGCAAGGACACATTAAATTGATCAAAATTTAAAGCAAAGACAGTTATAATGTTACAAAAGATACTATTGCAAGCAAATGCTGCTCTTTTGAACTTCATATTCATTAAAGTATCCTAAACAATAAAACGTGTCACAGTTTCTACAAAAATATGAAGCAGCACAACTGTTTTCAACATTGATAATAATCAGAAATGTTTCTGGAGCAGTAAATCAGCATATTAGAATGATTTCTGAAGATCATGTGACACTGAAGACTGGAGGAATGATGCTGAAAATACAGCTGCGCATCACAGGAATAAATTACATTTTACAATATATTAAATTAGGAAACAGTTATTTGAAATTGTAATAGCCTAATATTTCACAAATAATACTGACTTCACTGATTTATTTTTTATTTTTTATATCAAATAAATGGAGCCCAAAAAAGACTACTTTCAAAAACATTAAAATCTTTTAAATGGTAGTGTTTGTATATGACGTGTATATATAGCATGGGTTTTTTTGTAGGTGTTTTCATATCCATAGTACAAACTGTGTACTATACAACAAGATAAGTTACATTGCAAACTTTCATACTTTACGGTGTATGAACATAGTGATGCTTAGACTTAACCTACAGCGTTAATAAATCTAAACAGCTCGATCACACACACATTCATCACTGTACCTCTCTTGGCCTTATGAGGTTTGATGGCGTGCATCCCAGCATTTATGTTTTAAGTTCTATTTTTATTCTAGCACTGCAAGTTTTCCAGCAGAATTATGGCCTTGTCTGTTTGAGGAGAGTTCCTTCGCTGTTGAACTGAAGAACGTGTTTTACAAATGTAGCTTTCGTGCTGCTTTTTCCAGAGCGACGGCTGTAGAATTGCATTTTTCTGGTTTTGATGTTTCGAGTTTATGGTCAAAATGACTCTTCCTTTTTCATTTCATTATGTTTTATTCCCTCTTTCTGACTCATGTTTCTCTCTCTCTCTTAAATGTCAGTATTCTGACTGTTTTGTGTTCTCTGAAGGATTTTTTCCAGCTTGTGATCTGTCTGATTTACCGTCCCCAGCAGACTCTGACCGCAGCACATTGTTTCACTCAGCTGAGAGAGATAGAAAGAGAAAGAGAGACGAATATTAGAGGAAAGACGAACATCTGTCAAACTGCTACACGTACCATGAAAATCAATGCAGTCCCGTATTATGCTCGTATGTCAGAGAGGTCAAAGAGTTTGTTACTAACCAGGAACCGCAGTAAATGTTTAGTCTCCCATTGCAGTGCTTTGAAAAGTTATTCTGTTAAGGTCTGTTATTTCTGTTCATTAAAATTCTTCTTTTCAGCAGTTTTATAATATTGTATTTACATTTTTTTTAAGTAAATATTTTTTTATATTTTCAATTTTAATATTAATGTTTGTTTAAGTTTTAGTATTTTTTTTTATTTCTTTGTTTGTTTGTTTGTTTTTTTGGAAATAAACTTATTTCAGTTAGTTGCCAATGCAATTTTTTTTTAAGTTTTAGGTTTTCGTCTTATATTTATTATAAATCTTTTCAGCTTTATTTCAATAAACAAAAACAGGTTTTAATTTTAATGGTTTTTAACTGGTTTTAATACTTTTAGATGAACAATTATAACACTGCTCTTCTTCAGATGAAAAAAGAACAGATTAATAACTTCCTGTTTTTTGTTAATATTTCTATTTAGTTTTTTTTATTCAGTTTCAGTACTTAAACATATTTTCTGTTAGTTGCCAATGCAACATTTATAATTTTTAAGTTTTATTCAGCTTTATTTTAATGAGCAAACCATTTTTAATCAATTTAGTTTGAGTTAACAATAATAAAACTGCTTTTCAGATATATTCAGATACAGATATAAATAATAGAACAGAAAATAATAACTTGTTTCTGAACAGATATGCCCTGTTGCAACACCAGCATTTAGCAAAGGATCAAACGTCTGGACCAGACACAGATATCTGCAGGAAAACTAACAGATACGGACACACAGATTGATTTGAAAACAAGCATTCCAGTAAAACTTGTTGGATGTAAATTAGCAGACACTTCAGGGATTAGAAAAATGTGTTCGCAGTAGCACCTTTTAGCGTTTGGGTGGAGGACACATAACAGATCTCGTTTTTCATCAACCTATCTCAGTTTCTTTATATCTCCCTCACTTTTTAGTGCCACAGCCTGTCAGGTCGAGGATCTTTCATACATGAGGATTCAGAACCTAGTGAGCTGCATGCCATAATGGCATTTTTTGGGCATAATAGACATATTTATATAATAAATGCAGTCTACGTAGGCGGCTCAGTAGGTTTTGAAAGGCAGCCTGTGAGATAACCCTTAAAGGGGTCATATGATGTTGCTAAAAAGAACATTATGTTGTGTATTTGGTGTAATGAAATGTGTTTATGCGGTTTAAGGTTCAAAAAACACATTATTTTCCACATACTGTGCATTATTGTTTCTCCTCTATGCCCCGCCTTTCTGAAACGCGTCGATTTTTACAAAGCTCATCGGTCTGAAAAGCGAGGTGTGCTCTGATTGGCCAGCTATCCAGTGCGTTGTGATTGGCCGAATACCTCAAGCATGTGACGGAAATGTTACGGCCTTCACCATACTGTGATGATGCCCTGTCAGGCCGGAGCGACGAGACAAAAACATTAAAACCCATAATAAAAGAGAAAGGAAAAATTGAAATTGCATCATATGACCCCTTTAAAAATGCTGTGGTGTTACAGTGGTTTGGTGATTTTAGATGGTAATTCAGAGATACTGAATGATTACCATGGTATTTACATGGTGCTTAAAGAATATACATTGGTAGATATAGTTTTGTTATGAAAATACCTCATAAAAAAAGATGAGATTGCATGATCTGTTGGCAGAGCATCAGTCAGCGACTGGTTTGTAACATCCCAGTTAATGTCTGATGAAAGAGACGGCTTGCCGAGAACTTGCATATGTAGGTAATTGGTCGAGCATGAGTGTATGTGCACCACAAAAGTGTCTGCTCTTTCACAGTGAAGATGTGGAGCAGTTATCTTTCTGTTCAGGTGTCCTCTGTCGTGGTTCTGTCGAGGGTGATGAAAGCGTCTCTCTCCACGTCAATAATGCATCAGCACAAATGCACTTGCTGCTAATGGCTTCCACACTTCCAAAAAAAAAGTACTGAAAAACCTCTCGGCTAAAAATAACCCTGCAGGGATAAAGCACAGATTCAGATGTGAAGAATGGAAAAAGAAAGGAACGGAAAAACGGAGAGAAAGTGAGAATATGGTACTGATTAGAAAGAGAATTGTTGAGAAATGTTGATGGCTGGGAACTATACAGCTTGTTCATTTTGTTAATTTGTTTGTTCATTCATTGTTTTACTGAAAATGCTATGGTAGAACAATGTAAACGATCTAAAATGTAGTACAAACCTTAGTAAAACCATGTTTTTTGTATATTTACTTTACTAATACAGTGTTTTTGTATGTTTCCATAGTAATGCCATGTTTTTTGGACATTTATCTTAGTAATACCATGGTTTTTTTGTTGTTGTTTTTTTAGATTTACCATGGTAATGCCATTTTTGGACATTTATTAGGGAAATGCTTGTTTTGGACATTAACTATATTAATACCATCTTTCTTAGTCATTTATCTTAGTAATACTGTTTATTTTTTTACATTTACCATGGTAATGCCATGTTTTTTATGACATTTACTAGGGTAATGACATTTGTTTTTGGACATTTGCCTTTGTAAACCATGTCTTTTTGGGGGATATTTACCTTATTACTACAATGTTTTTGTACATTTACCATAGTGATACCATGTTGTTGTTGTTGTTGTTTTTACATTTACCATGGTAATGCCATGGTTTTTTTTTTTTACATTTACCTTAGTAATACCATGTTTTTGGACAATTATAGGGTGATTTTTTTTTTTTTTGACATTTACCTTAGTATCCCCATGCTTTTATGGATATTTACCTTATTACTACAATGTTTTTGTACATTTACCATAGTGATACCATGTTTTATGGAGATTTACCTTAGTAATCCCATGCTTTATTGGATGTTTACCTTATTACTACAATGTTTTTGTACATTAACCATAGTGATACCATGTTTTTTGGACATTTATCTTAGAAATAACAGTTTTTTTTTACATTTACCATGGTAATACCATGTATTTTGAACATTTGCCTTAGCAATACTATGTTTATTGGACATTTACCATGGTAATACATGTTTTTTGGACATTTACCATGGCAATACTATTATTTGAGCATTTACCTTAGTGATACCATGTTTTTGGGGCATTTACCATTGCATGGTATTAACATTGAAATGTATATCAATATAAATTATAATTAGCTTTCTTTCCTCTAGTCTATGAGTGTAGTCTTACTGCTGTAAACTGTATGGAGAATCTGTCTGTCAGTCATTCAAGTTCCCACCCCCTTGTTGCCATGGAGACACAGCCACACCTATGGGTTTCCATCCCCAACAGGCTGAGCCAATCTAATTAGCCAGTGTGGGATCGGTCATGGATTGGTCAGGTCTGTGAGCGCTGCTCTGAGCTCAGCTGCGTTCAGCTGGTGCCCGTCTGCTGCCTCTCATTACACACTGATCTCTCCCTGCCGTCTCTCTGTTTACTGTCTCTCTCTGTCATCAGCTCTACCTGCCTCGGAAAGCGAGCAAACAACACTGTGCAAGGTTTTAAATGGGGGTGAAACACATTCCCCCTCCAACTTTGGATTTTTACAGTCTTTGATTTAAACCCGAGATGTTTTTTTGCAAATTAGTCCTCATGGAAGGAATCTGACTCTCTCCAGCCTGTTGCTGCGTATCTCCTGGTGGAGGTGATCGAGCTGTCGGGTGGGGGGTGCCGTCAGATACACAGTCACCCGGGGGGCGAGGGACACCTGTCGCATGCTGCAGATGGTACGGACCCTCGCCCAGTTCACCATCGCCCTGGAGGAGATGCAGGAGAGCGGAGAGAGCACCAGTGATGATGGAGGAGGAGGAGGAGGAGGGGCGGGTGAAGAGGTGGGCAGGACCGTCGCTGTCGAGCCCAATGGAAACGGGGTTGGGGGAAGAGTGGGCGCCCCTCAGACCAGTGCTGAGGTACGAGCCTTACAGCACAGACCGTCGATGGTTGTTGTAGTCTGAACCTGTTGCTATGTTTGATTGCTGTGTTGTTTTCATTGTGAGAGAGCATCTACATTTGTGGCACTTTATCGTCAAGGTCTTTTATGTAACAGTTTACCGGTTACTTGTCTAATTTCTTCTTCGTTTTCATTGTCTTTTTCAGTTTGTGTTTTTCTCAAGACTGTCAGTATTGTGATGGATGGATGAATGAATGAATGGATCGGTCAGTGGATGGATGGATGGATGGATGGATGGATACATACATACATACATAGATACATAAATCGATAGAGAGGTTGGTAGGTAGATAGGCTGGTAGATAGGATGGTAGATGATAGATACGGGTAGAAAGTTTGGTAGATAGACAATATGTTAGATTGATAGTTTGGTAGATAGGTCAATAGATAGATAGGTTATTAGATAGACAATATGATAGATCGATTGTTAGGTAGATAGATAGCTTGGTAGACAGGTCGTAGATAGGCTGGTAGATAAGATGGTAGATGGATAGATACAGGTAGATAGGTAGATAGGTTGATTGATAGATAGATAGATAGATAGATAGATAGATAGATAGATAGATAGATAGGTAGGTTGTTAGACAAAATTGTAGATCGATAGTTTGGTAGATAGACAGATCTGTAGATAGTTTGGTAGGTAGGTCAGTAGACAGATAGGTTGGTAGATTGGATGGTAGATGGATAGATAAAGGTAGATAGTTTGGTAGATAATATGATGATAGATACAAAGTTGGTTGATGGATAGGTAGACAGCTTGGTAGATAGGCTAATGGATGATAGATGATGGTAGATAGATTGATCAGTAGGTAGATAGGTTAGTAGAGGGATAGATAGGTAGGTTGGAAGATAGACATTGGTAAAATAGGCAGATAAATAGATCTTTCTGTATGTTCATGTCTCTCTTTCTCTCTCTCTCTCTCTCTCTCTCTCTCTCTGTCTGTTTCTCTTGCAGCAGGTTATTCTCTTCTCACCCTTAAAGGTCACATATTTTACACCTCTCTGGAGTTTTATTTTAAGTCTTGATGTCCTTAAGAATATATATTTGCGGTATAAGCACCAAAAACCATCTCAATATATTTTTACAGCTCCTTTCTCAGGAGCTCTGCTGAGAATTGGCTGGAACAATAATGTAGCTGTAAAAAGAGTTTCCTGCTGAAATTGAAATGTATATACATCTTCATCATGACTTGATGTTGGGTGCCAGAATCGACATAATACATCCTCAAATTAGAAATTTGATCGCATATCTGGTGCCACTGCCAGACAAAAAACCGACTACAGCTGTGGTTAAACGCGATAAAACGAGCAGACTGGACAGAAACAATCGTCAAAAATGCTCGCGTTTGCAGCGCACACTTCTTATCAGAAAAGGGTCAATAAAGTATTGTCTTTTGTTGGTATGGGCGCGTCTACAGATTTCTTGCCATATGTCTATGTTTCTTGCATCTCATGACTATGTCGTGTATGAAATAATGTCTGTGCATGTGTATAAAACAACAAACTGACAATTTATATATAATAATGTCCAGCAAAACATCAGAATAATCAAAAACCGGTGAAATATCGGGTGGTGTGTACTTCCGAATGTCCAGCAATTCGTCTCTGGTGAAACTGATTGCAGGGATATAACTAAAGACAGGACAAACTAACAAAAACAACTGCGGAGCATGCCACGGAGGCAGCCATCAGCGTCGGCGCCATCTTATACCATCTTATACCATTAGGCAGTGCCATCGCCTTAAGAGAGACCACCATCTTCTGCTCTGTACCTGCTTGTGTGTGTGTGTGTGTGTGTGTGTGTGTGTGTGTGTGTGTTAAATCTCCCTCTCTCTCCCTCACTCCACTAACTGGACGGAGCTGAGAGGAGCGTCTTGAGATTATGTCCAGACACTGAGGGGATTTACCTGTCTCCACTGACCCTGTGGGCGTCTGTCTTAAGACTGTCTTACACCTCACATATGGCACATGTAATCAGGTCCATCGCTGACCGGCGTGTGTCTGCGAGATGATTGATTGGTTCATGCTGGATTTCACAGCAGCCAATAGAGCGTGTTTTTCCAAGCACTCTGCAACCTACAAACTACCTCATGTTCTTGTAGATTTTCCTGCTGTTTTTACTTTTTGTCTCCGCTTCTTTTCTTTTTGCTCATTTTTGGCTTTGTTTACTCTGCGTTGCTCTTTCTCAGTGTGTTTATTGCTCGTGAATGTTCTACTCCAGCCAGAAATAGCCGACTGGCTGTGATCCCATGACCTGCTTTTGTAAAGTCCGGGCAGAGCTGGCATTGAGCGTATGGCACTGACGGCAGTAGAAATGCTGCACGAGTTTTTTATTCAAACAACTTAAAGGGGTCCTATTATGCTCTTTTACAAAGTCTTGATTTTGTTTTGGGGGTGTACTAGAACAAGCTCTCATACTAGGTTGTATTTTTCACATATTTTACATTATTACAACACCTCTCTCCCCAGTCTGGCATGAACGGCTCGAATAGTTCCTGTATCAAATGAAGGC